TTAAATGAATAGATGTCTAACATAATTTGCTAGGGATGAGGCTCTGGGCAAAATGTATCTAGTTTCTATCGTTCTTATCAGAAGAGCTTTATTGATGTTTCATGGCATCAATATATAGATATAAAATCCAAAGTCATCCTCAGGGTTTTCATATACAAGCATAACCCCAACCTACACTAAAGAAAAGTTGCTTCTGCCAATTTGGACTTTGGTTCCAACCCCAAAATAGTACATAACAGTATAGGGAGGTAATGAAAAAGAGGGCCTTTAACCTTCTGCATCTGATTTCAACTTACACACTTATTCAGTCCCACACTGCCACACGCAAGTCAGAAAACAACCACGAGAGCAAACAAACCAACCTAAAAAAACCTCTTTGGCAAAAAGGAAGAAATCTGCAGAGATGCTTAAATTTGAATGTGCAGCATGTACTCCTCAAAGAGCATCTTACCTGTTAGGATGCCCTGGAATGTATATAAGGCAGTAGGCATCACAGACAGCAGGAAATAGAGGCAGCAGTCCTTTAAAAAGTCCATGGAGTGCTGGAACCAACCAGCAGGCGAGAACCCCACTCAATGACACCCACAGCAGGAATGAGCCCTTTACTGCACTGCTTGCCTAGGCCCTATGATAAGCACTGGGCTATATCTTAATGACTCCAACAAAAACCACAATGATTTTCATTCATGGGATTGGCTTACAAATTTGAGAAAAGGAAAATTTGAAAATGTATATGCTAGTCATTTTATAATTTTTCCTAGCAAACTCAACTACTAAAACGGTCATATTATACGAAATTGTGTCTTTGATTTCATATTGCCCAGAATTATTAGGCTCAACGCCCTCATTTGGGACAACGAAATCTTCCTTTATCAAGCCAATAAACACTGTATTTAATTTTATCATGTATCCACACAAATTTAAAAAGAAAAGAAAATTACATGAATAATGGTAATTTAATTTTTTCAATATGCCTAGCAATTTTTTTTCATTATTATTTATGACTAACTGGAGCTTTGTCTTCTTAGAATGTTTGAACCTGTTTACTGCAGGTATCACTATCTCCTGTGAGAGAGTTTACATCTGCTTGTTCTTCATCACTAACATCTGAAAGCAACCACAACAGAAATTAAAACTTAAAGTCAAATTGCTATTAAAAGTTATCATCTGAGTTTTAGGCCAATATTTAATTCATAGAATACTTTTTTTTCCTTCTCCAAAAAAGAATAGTTCCTTCCAAGAGACTATCTTTTTTTATAATGCGAGGTAACTGCAGTTGTAAATCGGCTGTCACAAAACCACACATCTGCTTAAGCAATAGTAATTGTCAGTTTAATATGACAGTAGTATGCAAATTCTATTGAGACTGAATTAGTCCAGTTTAATGAAATGAAGTATTGGGCCTTCACAGAGTTACTGAATAACCAGGTACTTTGCAGAGATATTTTTAGCAGTAGCATGTATTAAGATCCATACTGAGAGCTAGATTCAACAGTTGCTTGCATTAAAGCGGACTCATTGTCGAATAGCAGTTATTATTCAGGTATCCAAAAATCGACATTAATAACAATAAGAGCTAACATTTATTTAACACTTACATGCCAGGTACTCTAAGAACAACAACCCCATAAGGTAAGAACTATTATTATTCCCATTTTACAGATGGGGAAATTAAGGCCCAGAGAGTTAAGTAACCAAGGTCACACAACTAATAAATGAGAAGAGTTGAAGTATGAACCCAGAAAGTCTGATTCCAACAGTAATATGGACAATAACAATGTGGAAAAATATATGCAAGGATAATCCAACTCACTAATAGATAATGGTTGCAATGAATTAAGTACTTCCATTATTACAAAAATTATGTAACTGACTCTCCAGGAAGAACAATATTGAAAAGTTATTTGTTGGGCTATGTGAGAGCAAAGGGTAGAAAAAAACTTCATTCGCCTTAATTTATGAGCAAAAGCTGGATTTAAAAAAGCAAAATTGTAAAAACTTGTTCAGTAACAAACTAAAAATGGGTTGTAGAGAAGCAATCTGTGAATTAACATATTTTCTTAAAACTGTCAATAAAATGATCAGATGAAAAGAAAACATAGATTTTTCTAAGTGTATTCAAAGTGATAGCAGAGAGATGAAAAGCAGCATATTATTCCAGATTACGCTTGTTAATGGTTCCAAAGAGGAAGCTGAAATTTCAGTTGATATGATCGGAGCTAGTTGAGAATAAAAGATGGCAGTAACAGAAGCAGTCAAAAGTTGCAGGAGAGAAAATGATCTAGACTGAAAGAAAATAAGTCTATTGCAAAGTCAAAGAATTCACACGTATTGAGGAAGTAAGACTGAAGGTGAACAGGAATTCAACAAGATTAGGAGCAAGAGACTGCGCTGTCACAAAGAAGTCTACAATATGAATTAAAAATATAAGCCAAGGATAGACAATGAAGACATAATTTAACAGAGCAGAAAATAAGCAAGATTTAAGCTTCATGGCGGGGGCGGGGGGGGGGTTCATTACACCCAGTGTTGTGGAATTAACTAATGATGAAGATGGATGCTTAGGTAACCTGGTTCAAACCCTTTTTCAAATTTTTTTCTTAGAAAGGGTAGCTAGGAAAAGGGAAAGCAACACAGAGAATGGAAAGTCTGAAAGTAAAATGACAGAAATGATTTAAAAGCCAGCAAAAAATTCTGAAATTAAAATACATGGTTGGCTAGGGTTAATTTTGAGACTCATGAGTTGGAGAAGACCTGTAGGGGCAATACATTAAATGCCCCTTACAGACTCCAAAATGAGAACACAAATGGGAATGTAAGTCTATGAAGAGACTTAACATTTGCTCTCAAATGGCAATTCTTTCTGAAAAATGATCTATGTATGAGCATTATGGCATGATTCAAAAGCTGTAAGTAGTGAAGATGACCTCCAGAATTCCTAACAGCTGAGTCCATCATGGATCTTTAAAAGAACTGAAGTTTCCAAGATGCAGTTTAGAAATCACACTATTATAGAAAGTGATATAATTCTTTTTATTTTTTTTTTTTTTGGTATCAACAAACAGAAACTGTTCATGGCTGAGTACAGTATAAAAGCCAACCCTACCAGAGGAAAAACCATTCAGTTAGTAGCCTTGAGTCACAGCAGCAGTATGCATGAGAAGGGTGGAGTTTAATCACACCCTAGTGTTTAGTGATCAACATGGGCCTGCTTGAAGCTGCTTACGATTCCCCAGGATAAGAATACCACATTTAGATTACAGCTTGATGCCTGTTCTAGAGAAATGTTCAGATGAAGCCTGGAAGCACTGCATAATTGTAGGGGACACCATCTACACTGTGGTCTACGTGGATGGCATCTGTGCAGTTGTATAGTGCCAACTTGCCTATCCTGACACAGTTGTATTGCTTCTAACAACTTACTGTGCTTGTGCAAAGCCTTTTGGGTTTACAAGGTAAACATACATTTCTTTCTTGTCAGCAAGAAAGTTTAAACTCGTCAAAAATGCCAAAGAACATTCCCTCTTATCCAAAAAAAATATGTTTTATTGGAATAAAACATAATCGATTTTTTTATACAATCCTGCCTCAGTTTTATTTTTTTATCCACTGAGAAGCTCATGACAATAGTGTCAAACAACACCCGATGACTAATGAAACACCCTCTGAAGTCCCTGAAATGTGATCACTACCACAAAGAAGCTAAGTCCTTACCCCATTTCTAACTCAAGGAAAAATGTCTAGTAACCTGATGACAGCAAAGGTGAGGAATCTGAGGCATCTACAAAGTGGCTCTGTGGTGAACTTGGGAAGAGATGAAAATAATTATTCCCAATATTTAAACAAAACTCATACTCATTCCCCAAATGTTAAAATGAGATTTAGTAGAGCCAGGGAATGGACTCATCTGGTCAATCTCTTATTGCACGTCAGCATTTCCCCCAAAATTTTCTATGGAATACTAAAAGGATCCCATGGTCAGTAAGTTAGAAATGCCACAATTACCCAATGTGTATCATTACCATACACATTAATCTATTAAGGCCCTGTGAAGTCCTGTAGGTTTTATTAACCCAGTGTTTCCTACAGTCATTTGATCATAAAAACTGGGTTTCTGTTGCTGTTGTTTGGTGGAGTATCAGTGATAAGAGAAACAGAGTTAGGGAAATGACTCTCAAGGATTACCATATATACGCTTATTAATTCCTTGTAAAGAATTAAAATATAACAACATCTAAAACAAAAATTAAAAAAAAATTTTTTTTTAGACAGTCTCACTCTGTCACCATGGCTAGAATGCAGTGGCACAGTCAAGGCTCACTGCAACTTCCGCCTCCTAACTGCGTATGATTCTCCTGCCTCAGCCTCCCAATTCTTGTGCCTCAGCCTCCCGAGTAGCTGGGATTACAGGTGTGCACCATGCCTGGCTAATTGTTTTGTATTTTTAGTAGAGATGGGGTTTCACCATATTGGCCAGGCTAGTCTTGAATTCCTGGCCTCAAGGAATTCAAGACCCACCTCAACCTCCCAAAGTGCTGGGATTACAGACATGAGCTACCACTCCTGGCCTTAAAATAAGATTTCTTTTGATGATTGCATAATACTAAAGAAAACTGAAGTGCCTCCAGGCTAACAAATGTTGGTTTGATAGCTTTACTTGGTTAAAACCACCACCAAAATAACATTTACTGCATATTCAGTGAAGCCAGAAATAAAAGACAAAAAGCCTATTTTATAGTATTGTCACTTATACTTCTCATAAAACGAATAAAAACATATCAATACTTGGGGTTGACAGCATTTTAAGTGCTAAGAATATATCATAACTGTGCTTATCTTTTGCATTTATTTTTAAACACTTCTGCCAGAAAACATCAAAAACTTTATGACTTCAGGAGCTCACAACCTTGCAATAATCTCTCCTCAAATTACTGACTTCATCATGATTATCTATGGAAACCAAAACAATGGCACCTACTGAAGATTATTACAATACTTACCACATTACAAAAAGAATCCAGACCAATGCTATGTACATACTTAGTACATTCTGGATTAGACCAAGTAAAATTTAACAACAAGCTGAACAGCATTCTATAAAACAAAAACAAAAAGTCAGTTAGGCTAATTCTGTCTGTTTTTCTCTGCTGTGGACTCACAGTGAGAAAGAAGACAGTCTCGGAACTTGATGACTAAATCAAATCTAAACTCTTCATCCAGAATTTATCTACACTTACCTTAAGAGAAGTTCTTTGGGTAACTTTTTGTTAATAAGGCCTTCATCATTGTTTGAGAAAACCTGGAAAGAAAAAAAAAAGGAAATTGTGAAAATGTTTTCAACCAATGTGGAAAAATGTTATTTGTTTTTATACTATTAGATCAGAACAGCCCCAATCACTGTCCTGGAAATAGCGTGTTACTAATTTCATGATGCCACCACATTCTAATATTAGTAATAGAAAACATTTTATACCCTATCACTGTTTCATAAAAATAGCAATACATAGCCATTTGATACTATGTTGTATTGAAGGTTCTAGCCAAAGCAATTAGACAAAAGATAAAAAAGATGTCCAGATTGGAAAGGAACAAGTAAAACAACCTCTATTTGCAGATGACATGATCTTGCATACAGAAAATTCTAAAAGTGCACAAAAATCAATTAGAACTAATCAAGGAGTTCAGCAAGCTAAAGGAAACAACATACAAATGTACAGTATAGTTATACAAAAATAAACTGAATTTCCACATGGTAGCAATGAACATCCTGAAAATATATTTCAGAAAACAATCCTATTTACAACAGCATCAAAATGAAAAAATACTTAGGAATAAACTTAACAAAGGAAGAATAAGACTTCCTTATGAAACTTATACAATACATTGTTGAGAAAAATTAAAGAAGACTTAAATAAAAAGACTTTCATGTTCAAGAATTGAAAGACTTATTAGTGTTATGTTGGCAGCACTCCTAAAGTAATTCATAGATTTAATGCAATCTTTCTCAAAATTCCAGCTGCCTTTTTTACAGAAATTGAAAGACTGATCAAAAAATTCATATGAAAATGCAGAGGACCCAGAATAAAATAATCTTGAAAAAGAGAAACAAAAGTTGAAGGACTCAAACTTCCTGATTTCAAAATTTGCTACAAAACTTCAGTAATTAAAACAATGTGTTTACTGGCATAGGGTAGACATATAGATCAATGGAACAGAACAGATAATCAAAAATAAAATTATTAAATTGGCTAAAATAAACAGAATCCATAAATTAACTCTTAAATTTATGAGCATTAATTTAAATGGAGAAGGAATAGTCTTTTCAAGAAATGGTACCAGAACAACTGGATATATACAAGCAAAACAATGAATTTGGCCCCCATCTCACTTCATATAAAAAATTAATTCAAAATGGCTCAGAGACTTAAATAAATATAAGAGATAAAATTATAACCCTTGGAAGAAAACATCAGCATAAATCTCGGTGGCTTTGGATTATGCAATGGTTTCTTAGCTATGACACTGAAAGCACAAGCATCAAAAGAAATTGATAAACTGGACTTCATCAAAGCAAAAGACCTGGCTGGGCGTAGCAGCTCACCCCTATAATCCAAGCACTTGGGGAGGAAGAGGCAGGCGGATAGCTTGAGGTTAGGAGTTTGAGACCAGCCTGGCCAACATGATGAAACCCTGTCTCTACCAAAAGTGCAAAAATTAGTTTGCTGTGGTGGCACATGCCTGCAGTCTCAGCTACTCAGGAGCGTGAGATAGGAGAACAGCCTGAACCTGGAAGGCAGAGGCTCATTCCTGTTGTAACATGTATCAGTACTTAATTCCTTTTTATTGATGACTAGTATTTCACATCTTGGAATGCCACATTTTTTTCATCCCTTCAGCTAAAGGATATTTTAAAATTATTTCCACTATTTGGCTGTTAAGAATAATGCTGCTATGAACATTTATGGACAAGTATTTATAGAGACCTATATTTCATTTCTCTTTATTGACTTACAAGTTGAGTTGTTCAGTCATATGATAACTCTTTTTAACCTCTGAGGAACTGCCAAATTGTTCTCCAAAGTGGCTGTACCATTTTACATTCCCACCAGCAGGGTATGAGAGTTCCAGTTTCTTTCACCATTACGAAAAGCCTACATATTGTTTGTTCCCATTTACATTAATTGTCCAGAAAAGGCAAATCCATGGAGACAGAAAACAGGCTAGTAGTTGCCTGGTGCTGGAATGTGACTGCTAATGTATGAGGTTTCTTTGGAAGGTATGAAAAAATTCTTGAATTAGACAGTTGTAATGTTCATACAACTTGGTGAATATACTAAATCCCACTGAATTGTACTTTTTAAGTGAGCAAAATGTATAGCGTATGATGAATATCTCAATTTTTAAAAAGCAGATTAGGGAGAGGATCCAAGATGGCCGTTTAGGAACAGCTCGGGATTGCAGCTCCCAGTGAAAGCGCAGAGGGTGAGTGGATGCCGCAATTTTATTGCCCACAGACTAGGAAATTCCCAGGCGGAGGAGCTCCACAGGTCGCCAGTGCGGCTGTGCTGGCCGGCACCGCTGCTTTGCCCCGCGCGGCCGCTTTGTCAGCGCCCTGGAGCAGCAGTTCTCCGTACAAAATACACCGGTCTGGGCGCCCTTTTGGCTGGCGATTGGAGCCACGGGAAGTCGCCCATTCGTCTGTTTAAAAAGGGGACTGAGCAGAGAACCAGGACAGTAGATTCCAGGGCAAAAAAAAAAAAAAAAAAAAAGTGCCACAAACCTCAGTGCTGCTGTTTAAGCCAGCGAGTGAGTGGCCGCAGGGGAAAACAAACAGACCCCGGTGCCTCTTCAACAGGCGACTGGAACACCAACTTAAAAAAGGCTCTGAGGCAGGGAGCCAGGCGATCAGGCTCGGCTGGTCCCACCCCCACAAAAGAACAGCAACCAGAAACTCTGGATTGAGAGTTTAACAGCAAGCGCAGCTGAACCCAGGACGGTCCAGCTCTGTGGGGGAGGGGCGTCCGCCATTACTGAGGCAGCCCACCACGACGGAGGTAGTCGGCCAGTGCTGAGGCAGCCCGCCGTTGCCAAGGCAACCCACCATTGCTGAGGCAGCCCACCGTTGCCAAGGCAACCTGCCACTGCAGAGAGACTCTGCCTCAACAGAGGCAGGCCACCACCGCCAAAGCAGTTCTAACTACACCCATATAAACAGGACTGCAGGGAAGTTCACTTGGCAGCTGGGCGGAGCCCACAGCAGCTCACCAAAGCCTCTACAGGCAGACAGTGACTAGGCTGCCTGCTTGCTGGGCAGGGCAGCTCTGAAGGAAAAAAAAAAAAAAAAAAAGAGAAGGCAGTAACATAACTGAAACTCATAAAGCCCTAAATCCCTGGGACAGAGCACCAGGGAACAAAAAGCAGTTTATGAGTTCTGCTGCAGAAGGCCTAAACATACCTGCCCAGCAGCTCTGAATGAACAACAGAGTTCACAGCTCACCATTTGAGCTCCTATAAAGAAGAGACCGTCTCCTCAGGCAGCTCCCTGACCCCTATATATCCAAAGAGCCACCTCATAAAGGAGAGATCAGATTAACACTAGGCGGGTATCCTTCTGGGACAAAGATAGTAGAAGAAGAAAACTGGTAACAACCCTTACTGTTCAGCAGCTGCTGCAGGTGAACCCCAGGCAAGCAGGGCCTGGAGTGAACCTCAGCAGACCTACAGCAGAGGGGCCAGACTGTCAGAAGGAAAACCAAGAAACAGAAATAACCTCATCATCAACAAACAGAGCGTCAATCTGAAAGATTTGAGACCCAATCTGAAAGCCAGCAACTACAAAGTCCACAGGTGGATAAATCCATAAAGATGGGAAGAAACCAGCGCAAAAAGGATAAAAACACCCGAAACCAGAACACCTCTCCTCCTACAAGGGATCACAACTCCTCACCAGCAAGGGAACAAGGTTGGATGGAGAACGAATGTGATAAATTGACAGAATCCGACTTCAGAAGGTGGGTAGTAAGAAACTTCTGTGAACTTAAAGAACACGTTCTAACCAAATGCGAAGAAACTAAGAACCTTGAAAAAAGATTTGATGAAATGCTAACAAGAATGGACAAAATAGAAAGGAATATAAGTGAATTGACGGAGCTTAAAAACGCAACACGAGAACTTCGCGAAGCATGCACAAGTATCAATAGTCGAATTGATCAAGCAGAAGAAAGGATATCAGAGGTCGAAGATCAACTCAATGAAATAAAACAGGAAGGCAAGACTGGAGAAAAAAGGGTAAAAAGGAATGAACAAAGTCTCCAAGAAATGTGGGACTATGTGAAAAGACCTAATCTACGTTTGATAGGCGTACCTGAATGCGACGAAGAGAATGAATCCAAGCTGGAAAATACTCTTCAGGGTATTATCCAGGAAAACTTCCCCAACCTAGCAAGGCAGGCAAACATTCAAGTCCAGGAAATACAGAGACCACCACAAAGATATTCGTCAAGAAGAGCAACCCCAAGGCACATAATCGTCAGATTCACCAGGGTTGAAATGAAGAAGAAAATACTAAGGGCAGCCAGAGAGAAAGGTCGGGTTACCCACAAAGGGAAGCCCATCAGACTCACAGCAGATCTCTCAGCAGAAACCCTAAAAGCCAGAAGAGAATGGGGGCCAATATTCAACATCCTTAAAGAAAAGAACTTTCAACCCAGAATCTCATACCCAGCGAAACTAAGCTTCATAAGTGAAGGAAAAATAAAATCCTTTGGGAACATGCAAGTACTCAGAGATTTCGTCACCACCAGGCCAGCTCTACAAGAGCTCCTGAAAGAGGCTCTACACATATAAAGGAACAACAAGTACCAGCTCAACTAAAGGGCAAAACACCCAGCTACCACCAAAATGGCAGTATCAAATTCGCACATAACAATATTAACCCTAAATGTAAATGGACTAAATGCCCCAATCAAAAGACGCAGACTGGCAAATTGGACAAAAAGCCAAAACCCATCAGTGTGCTGTATCCAGGAAACCCATCTCACATGCAAGGATACACAAAGGCTCAAAATAAAGGGATGGAGGAAGATTTACCAAGCAAATGGAGAGCAAAAAAAAGCAGGAGTTGCAATTCTCATCTCTGATAAATTAGGCTTTAAAGCAACAAAGATCAAAAGAGACAAAAAGGACATTACATAATGGTAAAAGGATCAATGCAACAAGAAGAGCTAATGATCCTAAATATATACGCACCCAATACAGGAGCACCCAGATACATAAGGCAAGTTCTTAATGACTTACAAA